AAATGTTTCACTCAACAATTTGCCTCTAAACTTGCTGCAGTTGTTGCTTTTTTTAGGTAGAGAAGAGCGGATTTCGAAAAAACCCACTAAACGGCCTAAAATCGCGCTGAAACGTCGCCAGAAGACTGAACAAAGTAAAAGCAACGACTGCAACAAGTTTTGAAGCAAATTGTTGAGTGAAACATTTTATTTTCGTAACTTTATCATAACTCCCATACATTCCCTTAGAAACCATACACAGGACCTTGTTTAGGCTGACTGTGAGCTAGAGGTCAGACCGATAGCAGGCCGGGGTGAAATAGATGTTAGGTCGCGGTAATTATGATGTAAAGATGAAAATATATGGACCGCGTAGCACTTATGAAATACATTTCTTAATTCATTCTAGGGTGTCCGAGCAGGATGTACAGTAGCAAGGGTGTGCAGCTACCTTACATATAACAGGAACTTACCAAGATATATATCACCCAATGTTTGTAGCCACACGGCATTGTATGGGTAGGCTATAACAGCATGTTTGGTAGTGTGCAGCATGGCATGGTCTATCTGCTCAAAATTCACGCTACTTCGGCTAAAGCAAAAGTTAAAAATACTTTATAAATACGTATTAAAATGGCTATTACAATTATCGTTGCAGTGCGACACGCGAGGTTTGATTTTCGCCAACTATGCCTTGACAAAAACCGTCAATCAAAGAAGCGCAATAATAACAAATCTCGGGAATTTTTTAGATGGAATTAAATATTTTAAAGGAATAGACGATTTAAGTCTTTATTTCAGTCGACAATCTTCCTCAAGACATTTTTTTGCTGTTTCTTCTTTGATTCATTGAAGGTAGTTGAAATGGTAATCGGCTACCGAAACATCAATTCCAAATATAGCACATAGCAACCAACTTGAATAACTATTGTTCTGCAGTGACTAGCCTCTGTACCCTAATGCTTGTTAGAACGCTTTTGTTTCCAGATGAACACAAGGCTAGTCAGTTATATAGTTATTCAAATTGGTCGCCATATAGTTTTCAATCAGTGYATATAAGGGAATGACACGTGGTCTGAAATGGGAAAATATTGCGGCCATTGAAGGTGGAAGTTAGTCAGCCTTTGCACTTTTGATTGACTTACTTTGTGACAGACGTTGGCCAAAGGTAACCATGTGAGCTGAAGATTTCTCTGGCATTCTCTTGCCCTTCCTGTAATAGTAACACCAATTTTACCTTTTTCGTTTTGGGTTTCAGAACCAAAATCAGGTACGGTTATTTTTCCGCTTCCTTGACTACGTTTAAGAATTAGTAAATTTTGATTTATGCATGAAGAACAA